GTACGTTACGGTTTCGTTTACGGTTAGGTAGGTGGGTCGGACGTAGTCACCACCGTTACGGTCGTACTTAGTGTTGGTCGGAGAGCGACTACTTACGTAGTAGAGAGAGAGAGAGAGAGAGAGAGAGGAAAGAGGGTAGAGAGAGAGATCACACACTGGTGTCTAGGGCCCATAATGGCCATATAATGGTGTCCAAGAATTTGGGTTTGGTGCATTGAGATTCAATCTAGACTATCGATCGAAGGTAGCCTGTGGGGTGAAGAAAGACTTTTAATCTTAGCCCTCCATTCCTTAAATCAACCATCATGATGAAGGGAAGGTTCTTGGAACCATTATCCCTCAGTTTTGCTGGCTCATTCTCTAAGGAATTTTTATAAATACATTTTTACTTGCCAAATGTTCCAAGTTATGGAACCACACTCGAAAATTTTTACAACCTCCCTTCCTTCTTCCTTGCACAATATCTTCATAGTCTATCGCAGGGCTCATGCTTGGTCCATCAAAGCTAGCAAATAAATGAAGAGAATACATGCCTAGTGTGAGGATTCCTCCCTTAAGGAAATGTCATATGCTGCATGGACATGTGCACACGATTGCAATGGTGTGAGGGGCCTTTGTACCTCTCTTACCCTAACAGGTTACTTCTTATAGACATGGCTATCAAATGTACATGCATGCAGTGGTATTGTTGAGGATTTTGGCCCTTGCCCCTCATAAGCCCACCAACCGCATATGAGAGACCCTACAATCCCTTGGTCAAACCATCTTGGGCGTCAATAAGGAGTAACCTAGTAACCCTCCAAACCGTTCATGGTTGTGCCTTATGCCTAGGGCTATAGAGTTTTGGACTTCACTCCCGGGCCTAGACTACCAAACTCGGGCGAGTCACGGGCACTATGAAGCATGCGTCTCTAGTTCCACATGTAGTACACTCCCATCTGGGCTATAGTCATAGTTTTACATGCTGTGAAGTCTTTTAAGGGCCCCATACCCCAACATATTAAAGCACATACTATTTGATTCCTTATGTCTCTTTTTTGTTGGCATGGATAACATATCCTTTGCAACTTTTTTCTACTTTCCCAAAATAAGCTTGAGATCATGTTTATGATAGTGTTCGTCTTGCATATGTAACTCATTTTGTTTTATTTCCAATTTAGTAAATGAAATTGGTGCATCACAGGTGTGTATGCAGAGGCTAATTACATGGAGGGGGATTTGGTTTTGAAGGATCAAATGCTAGTTGGTACTCAACATGTCTCCAATAAGGTTATCTAAAATATTTTTCCTGCTCTAGATGCGTTACTAGAGATAATGCACTTAAATTGGGTCAATTGCTAAGACATCTATATTCAGTTGCATGAATGTCATACCTGGCTATATGTATTTCTTCTACTCATTCAGAAAGTTTACACATGATTAAGGCCACAAGGATCATAGCTTGCAAACCTAGCCTGGTTGACTCGATCTTGTCGACCAGGCATGTTTTAAAACTGGGTCAAATTAAGTTTTGACCTGGTGTTCTCTAACCTGTCCTGTGGACTCAGTTGACTAGGAGAGTCCAATCTTGACTTGTTTGATTGGGCCATTTTTCTTTTTCACAAAAAGTGTTGTTTAATATACATAACCATTTTAAAAACTCTTTCGATAACAATTCAACAGACTGTGCAATTCACAGGTGTCAATCAAATTATAACTATTTTCAAATTACATATTTATGATTGTAGCAAAAAAAAATCTTTAAGCAATAAAATTTCATAGGTAAAACTAAAAAAAGAAAAACTGTCCAGTCAACATGTTAAAAAAAAATAAAAATAATACTGCTGTCTTCCTTATCTTTAATGGGAAATAAAAAAACTCAGGCGAAATTTTAGAGACTGTTTATGGAAATAAACTTTATTTATTAGGACTCTATGTTATAAGGATGACTTAAATTTTGAATTCCTAATTTTAAAGTGGAAAAACTTGTCAAAATATAGAAAGTCAGAATTGAAAAGACTAAGAAAGTGTATATTTATGTAAGAGTAAAAAGTTGAAGAAAATCCCAAAATTAAAATATCTTGATCGCCATATGCAAAAACGTTATTCTCAGAAAGGATTTCTAATTTATGAAGAGAGGTTTCTAACAGAGAAAGATATACAAGGAATCATTGTTCACTAGAACTCTAGTGCATAGTTATTGGGATGGGGAGCAATGAAAGATCCGCGAGTGGAAGCTAGAGCATGGGATCAAGCAATGCTCAAAATCTATAGTTGAGGGATAGAGGTCCGTACATCGTGTGGTAAAAGGATCGAGATCCCAACATATAGGGAGCGTGATTTAAGTTGGTCTAGGATTGAACGATAAAGCATATGGGATGGGGGTCTGTGAAGCTTAGAAACAAGGCTCCACAAGGGCACTTAACTACAGTACTCGAGTTCGGGAACACTTCCAATACGAGGATTCAAATCTCAGTGTCCCTGACGTTGTTTTTCCCTCCTTTGGGTTTTTTCACTTAGATGGCATTGAAATATGGTCGACGAGAGGGCAAATGTATCTTATCTTTCACTCTTTCTCTCCCTGTCCTTCATATTGTTAATGCTAAAAATGAAAATCTTTTGTATTCTGTTTCTTGTTGCGCTTTCTCTCAAAAAGTGGTGGGCTATGCCATCACGGCTTCGCATTCACAATGTTAGCGACCCCTCTTTCTCTCTCTCAAATATGAACACACTGGGGAGTTGAAACTATCTCATTCTCGCTAAATTCCTCGATGAGGTACACTGTGATTTGTCTCATTCTCCCCTTACCCCTCCTCCCTAATGAGAGATGTACTGGAGCTAGTGAATTAGCCTCTAGGAAGTTAAGCCTATCAACTGCAACTTCTTTCTTTGCTTATAGTACCGCAACTCGTCTCTCCTTACGATCTTCTTTTGTCTTCTTCCTTCTCTCTCCCTGCTCTCTCTTGTTGCCTTTCTTTGAAATTATTCACAAGGCAGAACACAAGGTGTGTAAATTGTAATTGTAAAGTATATAAGAAGTCAAGGCCTTTACATAAATTGTGGGTTGTAAAAAACTAAAGAACCTTCCTAAGTAGGGATCTGTGTCAAATTGTCTATAGCTTATAGTTTAAACAAAAGAATTGCCATTCACAGCTACCAATGTTTCAAAAAGCACTAGGCGGCCCTTAGGCAGCCTTGGTGCCCAGCGTTTAGGCACTAGGCTGGCTCCAAAACCTCAAGCACCTTGAGGTGAAAAATTTCATATATATGCTGTTCAAAAGCACATATATGCAAATATTTTTATTAATTTTGTACTTATATGTATTCTAATTGGCTTTTCCATGCAAATATATATGCATGAATGTTGAAACATGTTCAAAAATTCAATTCGTTGAAAATTTAGTGAAAAAAGTCAAAAACATGAACAAGTCCATGGTGTATTAACCTTCAGCTATCCAATCCAAATTGAGTATGGCATACTCCATACTGACACATGAACACAACGACAACTAGATAAGATGAAATACAAAAGAGAAGTACAAAACTAGTAGTCCAATAATGAAAATTGAAATACAAACGAAGAGAGAGGAGGTCTTTCTTTCTTCATAATTTGTTCTTTATTGTTTTTTGATATATTTCGAGCTAGAAATCACCTCAAAAGTCTTCAAATACCGTCACTAGCACCCTAAAAAAAGTTCCACCAATGAAGGCCAAGCTTTTAGGTGTTTCCTCAAGCCTCAAATTCTTTTTTCGATTCACAGAAAAATTATAATTTGATTTTTTTTTTATTTTTTATTTTATTTTATTTATTTTATTTTATTTATTTTATTTTTTTTATTTATTATTTTTAACTTTTGGGGTTTAAAACACCCCCAATGTTCTTTTATAAAATTTTGTGGGTCAAAATGACCTAAAGTGATCTTGAGCCCACTTAAATTACAAACAATGGGGACTAGAATCAGGCGCTCGCTTGGGCATGCCTAGGTAATGGCGCCCAGGCCTGGGTGTCCACCCAAAGGCCCTTTTGATGCCTAGGCATCGGGTGGACCTTTTTCTAGGACAATGATAACAACTAAAATATGTTGGTCATCAATGCTCCATTGGAAATGATCTCCAAGTGTTTCGATGACCTTACTCCCAATGTAGAAGAAGCTTAGTTCCTAGTTAGACGAGGATCGAGTCTAATTGAACATGGACCAATGATTTGGATAAGAGGTATCTTGATCCCATTAACTAGCGTTCTCAATCCACAATTTTGTGGATTGAGATCCCTAAAATAAAAAGTGCCTAGAATTGAGATCTCCTCCTAGAGCGCATGATCTAGCTTCTGGAGCTGGAGCGACCACCTCCTTGGGAGATCCCGACAACTATGCCCAAGTGTGCAAGGAGTTTCCTACTTTGCAAGGAGAGGGGAAAAGATCAAGAGGCTATGGTAAGTCAAATAAATTTGACTGCCTCCATTGTGTGATTATTACACAAACACATGCATCTTAAGAAATTTAATATATATCTTATAGGTCGTTAAGAACTTAAGATAAAGTAGAAAATGAAGCAAATATATAATATATATAGAAAGAGACTACGCAATGCCTATGGGTGAAAATCAACAGTATATTCGCCCATAGGCTCGGCGTCGTCTGATTTTTTGGGACGTTGTGGATTAAAAGACCACCATGGACATAGCCTGTCTGTTGCGGTACCGCAACGGACAAAGCATGTCCATTGCGGGGTTTTTTCAAGCAAAAAAACACGAGATTCAACCACGACCATCGTAGAGCCGTTGCGGTGTTTCAATATAAACCTCAACAAACATGCTATGTTCGTTTTGGAGGGAAACACTATTCAAATTTGCCCAGAGGCGTTTTTAATACTTTTCCATATATATATATATATATACTATATTCATGTCATAAGACTTTAGAAAAGAAGTCTGGGTCAACCAAATCCTCTCTCCAAAAATGAGATTTTTACTTTTATTTGGTTTTTAAAATTGTTATCTATAGCAATGCGCCCTTGACCTGGATGCTTGGGATGGCAAAGCCACAATGTGACGTTTTCCTACCTGTTAATATGTCAAAAATAAAATAAAATGAAATGATTCCCTGCTTCTGCTATGGGAGACTTTTCATTTGCTTCACTTGTTAAATTCGAACCTAGGGGTAATTTTAGGGCCCCGGGGATGTATCCTCTTCAACCTAGTAGGCAACTTATAAAAAAAAAAACACCTCAAACTCCCCTCAATGAGCCTAGAAAAATTCATCATCTTCATTGTGAAAGCCTTTTCCCAACTAATTGGGATCAGTTATACAAATCCTTGTTCACCATTCTGTTCTATTAAGGACCATATCCTCAATGAGGTTATAAGTCTTCATATCCTTTCTCAATGAGGTCATAAGTCTTCTAACTATGTCCTTTTGGGCTTACCCCTTACCTGTTTTGAGCCTTGCACTTGAACTAACTTGCACCTCCTAATAGGTGCGATATTGGGTCTGTGCCACACATGGCCAACTCACCTAGGTCTACTCTCTCTCATCTTATCGCCTATTGGTGCCACTTCTAAATTTTTCCAAATGTACTCATTTCGAATTCTATCTTTCCTTGTCTACCACTCATCCATCTCAACATCCTCATCTCCGCTCCGCTGCACTCATTCTATAGGTATATTAGTTTTTGACCACCCAATATTCTGCCCCATAGAGTAAAGTTGGTCTCACAACTGTCTTATAGAACTTGTCCTTCAACTTCATTGGTATGCACCGATCACCTAAAATTCCGGTATGAGCCTGGAAAAATTAACGCCCTAAAATTGAATGTAGACTGTCCAATTTTTGGACAACGAAATCTGTGTAAAAAAATAAATCTCAAAATCCATTTTTTTAAATACCATATGGTGATTCTTAACTGGATCCCAAAATTTAATAGGTGCTTTTTCACCAAGGGAGTAAGTGGTTAGTATGATCTCGACGGAGCATTGCACTAAAAGAAAAATGTTCTTGGCAATATAAAATTCTCTTAGAAGTTATGTAACTGCTATGTTTTACCCTCCGATGCTGGGGAGACCCGACACAGTGACTAACAATGTCCATGTTAAGATTTGCAGTTGCAAACTATGATAAAAATTACAGAACCATAGAATGCCCATGCATGCTCGTATGCATAGGCTATTTAAGGATGATGTATTTTTCATAATACTTCTTGTGCCTTATTAAGAATATGTATATATTCCTTTTGTTTTTGTGTGCGCACGCACAAATGTGCCTGTGTGTATCTACCTTCCCCTTTCTAACCAAACATACTCTTTTTTTCAATCAGGTTGATGCTCTTGTCTGTAGCTATTGTTTTCGTTACATTGGCTCAATAGAACTCCAGATTGGAAGGAAGCTTTATCTTCAAGGTCTAGGGAAAGGTGAAGGTGAGGAATTTGAGCTTGGGACATCTAAACACATTCAGAAAGAGGGTTGTCTTGCTGAATCTTTGCACTTAAGGGAGAATCATTCTGTTATGGCTGGCCACAGTGATTCAGATTCAGCTTCTTCTAGTAAATCAGAAGATAATGCGTACCTCCCCCTCCCTAAAGAAGTTATTGAGTCTTTAATCAATGGTGAATTGGTTTTACCTTACTCAAAGGAATTTGTTTTGCCTTCGGTCATTTCTTGTGTTGGTGGCTGTGCAGAAGAACATTATTGCAGGTGACAGACACAGTCTTCGAAAGCTTCTGTTTCATATTTGGATTTCTTTGCCTTTCATGCTTTCTCTGAATATGGATATGCTATATGGGACACAGGGATTTGTCTCCCTGACCAGCTGTATTGTGCTTATATTATTGTGAAAGTAACTGGAAGTGTTAAAACTTCAATTTTTTTATATATAATTAGATAGCCATGTCTAATAAGCTGCATTTGTTTTTGAATGTTTACAACCATGCATATACATGTATATATGCTCCAAGCTAAAACGGTGAGGCTTCAATGTAGCAATAGAGAGTCCTGTGTGCATTCAACATTCATTCAAGCAGATTTATTTTCTTGGATAAGTTTTACCCATGTGTAATGTACATACAAAGTGTGTCATCAGGAATTTGGTCATTTTGTGCTTAGGTTGATCAATTTTCCTTCTGTTAATTAATCCATGTACTATGACTAGATAGCCATGTCTAATTAGATAGCCATGTCTAATAAGCTGCATTTGTTTTTGAATGTTTACAACCATGCATATACATGTATATATGCTTCAAGCTAAAACGGTGAGGCTTCAATGTAGCAATAGAGAGTCCTGTGTGCATTCAACATTCATTCAAGCAGATTTATTTTCTTGGATAATTTTTACGCATGTATAATATACATACAAAGTATGTCATCAGGAATTTGGTCATTTTGTGCTTAGGTTGATCAATTTCCTTCTGTTAATTAATCCATCTACTATGACTAGATATTCTTCCATTTGTTTTCCTTTCTTAATAGAATGGTGGTGATGCCCAGTTAGAAATTAAAGCATAACAACATTTATTCATCAGAGGTGGTCTTTATATTGCAGCCTACGGTGGAGTGATGCTACTCACCGTAATTTTCTACAGTTGTGGGTGTAGGATGGAGATCTTCCTGATATTGTTTGTTTCTTGCTTCCTCTCTAATGTCTCGAGGAGCGAGAATCAAGAGTCTTTGCAAGTTAATCCACTGAAGCTGAGAATTATTGCATAATCTCTATATGTTATGAGATCATCATGTGTCATGCTTCACTCAGTAACCTCTTTTTCTCTTTTTGGCTTACAGCACATGTGAAACACCTCCTCATTCTCATCTTGAAGCATTCAACCCTCAGACCGGCTAGAATGTATTGGATAGATGTTTATCTTTACTGTCATGCGTACATTGATAACAGATAGGTGGTTTTCTACTAATAGAATGTACCTAGCCAAAGATAGATTGTCAGTTTTATAAAATTTAAATTGTAGTTTAAGAAATGTTTGAAATACTTTATGGAAGTTTACTTTAAGAAATTTTGTTTTTTTTTTAGCATGTATTGAACAGGAGTATGGGTATAATGTTTACTGCCATGTCCACAGTTAAAATACATGTGCTGTCTCTACTAATAATGTAAAATAACTTACCCAAAAAATCTAATAATGTAAAATACAATACTTTCATGTCGACAGTTAAAATACATATGTGCCTGTCAACAGTTAAAATATATATTGCTTGGAGCTTGTTACCTTCATGACCCAGTATTTGGTTACCACATAGGATCTAGTTTGCTTTCCCTATCGATTGGTCTTATCAGCTTCCTTTATTTGCTATGTCTGTGAGGGGTTTGAGCTGGCTTGCCACCTGTTGTATTTATGTGTGAAAATTGTATATAGAAAAATATACAATACTGAAATGTCAGGTACTCTTCATGGGCTCACAACGTACAAGTGTTCTAACTACGTCTTCCAAATTACATTATCAAAGCTCTCTGTGCTCATCTCTTTTAAATAAGAAGCTTGTAATCATTTCTCGGAGGATGTATGTGGGTATATGGGACACAATCTCGGATTTACCATGTAATTTCTCTCAGCAATGCTTTGATGGATTGATTCCGATTCTTTTTCGCTCTACAGTTCCTTTCTTTCCAAGTCACCATATCATGGTTGGGGGTGAAATGTTCCATAGTTTATCACGAAAGTTGCTGGGAATTTCTTTTGGGACCAGTGTGCTGTAAGGCTCTGGATGTTGCTGCTGATTATTGTGACTGTGTTGAACTTCCACAACACGGTTCTGGCTCTTCCTTCCTGTTTTGCATGAGTAGCATATGTACTCAGTTGGAGTGCCTATCTTTGCATTCTACCATATGTGAGTAGCCTCTAGTGGTATGCTAACCAACTGAAGCAAGAGTTTCTAGGATGGACTAGGCTTTCCATAATGCTTCTATAACCTCATTTCACTGATCACTTCATGGAAACTCCTGAGAGCAGAGTATCTATCTTGAGAGGGGATCCAGCTGATTTCTTTCACCCGATCATGGCACAATGCTCTACAAGATTGCTTTTCGATGACTAATAGCATGCTATGTATGTGATGATCTGCAAAGTGTTTAAGTGGAGGAAGTGAAGGCTATCATATGCGGGAGAAGCAGATTCCATCAAATGCACACATCTATTTGGAGGATGTGAACCCTAGGAGCTACTAAGAAGAATAAGAAGAACAAGCTTTAATACGTCTTGATGCAGAATTTCAGATCGGGATACTAAGTTTCTCAATCATTTTTCAGGAACCTTGTTGAAGAAATTCGGCACTCGATTACAATGTAGTAGTGCATTTCACCCACAGATAGATGGGCAACTTGAAGCGGTGAATCACTGCTTCACTACATGTTTGGGATTCTTAGTCTGCCTCATAGTTGTTCGGATCGGGAGCGGGAACAGTACTAGGATCGAGATCGCGAGCGAGGGACTGTGAAATTCTTGAAGATCCCTATGGTTGGGAATGCCACGCGTACAATGCACATGTTGGGGATCAAGATTCCCAAATGTTAGGGATCGAGATTCCAACCTTTTGGGGATCTTGATCCCAACCTTTTGGGATCTTGATCCCAACTTTTTGGGGATGTTGTTACCAACCGTAAAGTGTATTATAATTTAGTATTATGTATACTCTTTAAAGTAGGGATCTTATTATTGATAGCAAGCAAACAATAATTGTGTTGCTAGTTGGCTATAAACAAAGAAAAAAAAAATCAGTTTGGTTGTTGTCTTGGTCTTTAAGATTGGGATCAAGAACCCTAACAGTAGGAATCGGGATCCCTATGAGTGGGGTTCGAGATCCATAAATTTAAAAATTGAGATCCCTGAGAGATCCGTTCTTGGAGGGACAAAATTGAGATCCTAGAAGGGATCGCCTGCCGAAGTAGGAGATTCCGGTAACTATGGTATGCCCTAGTTTTGGCTTCCTCACTTGTTACCCTTTTCTCGTCCTGTCTCTCTCTGAAACCCTCGTCTCTCTTCTTCTTCTATCCCTCTTGTGATATACAACACAGAGTGCAACTTGTGCATACTTTTTCCCATTCGTACAAGATTGATTATTATAACATAAAATGGGGGAATAGAAGTACATCATCCATACTTTCATAAGTTACTTTCTGAGCTTGATTATGGACTAAGAATTAATGGTGAGCATGTTCTATCCATTGGTGTGTATGTTCTATCCAGGTCTTGTGGGTTATTATTTATCAATTACTAATATGTGGACTCTTAATCATCTTACTTTGTGCACTTTCAATAATGCATAAATTTGTAATATTTGTAGTAAATCATGTGCCGAGGCAGATTGGGAATCATGCCATTCCTTACTTTGTATGGGGGAGCGCTCAGGTTGCCGTAATATGGAGGCATTGGCTAGGTTTACAGAACATGCTAATGGTATGGTGCTCATGGTGTGCCACACTTTTGCACAATCATTGCTATGAATTTTGATTTTTATGTGAATGTGTGGAAAAAAAAATCTTTTAACTCTGAAGCAAGGTTTTGTTCTTTGAGTACTTTCCTCTGAATTCTAACTTTTATTTCTCCCTTTTCAGGAACAAATGATATTTTTCATCTCGCTGCCAAGGTATCATTGGTATTGCATTACAATGATATATATATATATATATATTTATATATGTAGAGGGAATGGATCTTGTCAAGCCCATAGGCTAACAGCTACAGTGTCAGTCAATGACCCAGATTGATATGGGCCGATCTGACGGTCACGACCGTATTTCGTATTTGACTTTTAATTTTTTTTATACAACTCCAAATCACTGGAAATTTTAGGTATACATTCTTCTCATCAAGACGCACTTAATAAAATATAAAACAATAATTCGCACAATTTAAATTAACCAAATACCCTTGAAACATTTTGAGGGTATTTTGATCAATTTATATTGTGCTAATTATTATTTTTATATTTTTATCAGGTTATAATATTTTTAAAGAATATACGCTCAAAATTTCAGTGATTTGGATTTATAGAAAACACTGAAAATTGAAATACAAAATTAGGTCATGACCATTAGATCGTGCCCAGATTCAATCTGAGTCGTTGGTTGACACTGTAGCTCTTAGAGTTAACAACCCTTTAAAATGCAAAGGTTAATGTTAGAAGAGGTTGTGATGGGTATATTTATAAAAAAGATCACTACGTTTTGTTCAAAAAATTATTTTAATAGATAACTTAATCATTAAGTAAGGGCAAAATTGTAAATTTTACAAAAGTACAATGGCATTTTGGAAGTTATTGTCCTGAAACTTTATTTGTAGAGTGCCTTTGTCCTTCAGTAAAAATTTGAACTTTAACTGTTATGGAAATGACAAAAGTACCATTTGTCTTGTAGTGATATTTACAAAAATACCCTTACTTAATGTGCAAGATATCACAAAAAGTGACTTTTATTAAAAAATAAACCATAAAGTAGTGAATTTACCGTCACAACTTATTCTTTCATTAACCTTTGTAATTTGAAGAGTTGCAAACTTTAGATGATAGCTATATATATATATATATATGTTTGATCAAGATTATTCTTATTCATTAGCAATACAAGCAATTCGTGTTATGGTGTTGATGTTTTTGTGGGCTGTCACCTGCACCAGTTAAATCTCTTTGGCATGCTTAAACACCCAAAAATGTGGGAAATGTCTGATTTTATTCTCATTTGCTTGTTTGGTTTCAGATTTTCATGCATTCCATTGTGTTGTTGAGACATATTTTCTCATTTTTATAAGATGTATATATGTAATAAATGGCTTGTTGCCATGAAATCAGTTGCATATAGAGATTGTACACCCTTATTTGAACCAAATCTAGACTTACATGCCCTTTCTGTGGTATCAGCAGTCCAAAGACGTTCTTTATTTTGTTTCTGAGACAGTTTGGGCCATATTATAAAAGTCACCTATTATTTTCTACAAAATTATGAATTCAAGTGAAGCCTTCGATACCCTATCCTTTGCTAGTTGGTCAGCAAACTCATTTGTGTCCCTGCTCAAATGGTTAAAAGTGGATTTGCTTGGTTAATGCAATTATACCTGTTAGGGGCTGGCATTTCTAGTTGTCCACTGGAGGACATTCTCTATCTGTATATTTTCCATTTTGGCTGTCTATTTCTAAGTCCAATCAATTGAGCCCATGTTTCAGCTTCATTTGCACCACATCCTGTACGTGGGACTGAAATAGATCATTAGGATCTTCCCTCTGATCATGAAATGTTCCTCCCACACCAAATGGCCCTGGATTCTGTTTTGATCTGGCTTCAAGTCCAATTTACTATGGTATGGGCCCAAGAGATAATCAAGGCTTTACTTTTAGGGAAAATATCTTTGTAGACCCTAATTTTGTATCTGATTTTCCAATAGACCCACAAATTTGAAATGTATCTAGGGGCATCAACTTTCCCAAAAATCTTTCTACTAACCCCCTAAACCCATATAACCACGTTTTATACCATGTTTCCATCCCAAATAAATTTCAAAATGTCACTATTTTTTCCATTCCAGCTTTTTTCTTTTCCTTCTCCGACACTCTGTATCTAGTTTCGCTCTTTTTCCCTCTGTGTCTCTCTCTCTAAATCCAGCAGGCAAAAGGCTTTGGCTCCCTCTCTCACATCCTCACTCTAACTTTCTCCCCCTCAATCCCTCCCCTCCCCCCCCCCTTTCCTCTCTCTCTTTAAATCCAGCAGCCAAAAGGCTCTGGTTCTCTCTCACACTCCCTCGCCCTAACTTTCGCCCCTCAACCCCTCCCCCCCCCCCTCTCTCTCGCCCTAAATTAGGCTCTGTAGTTTTATTTGCTTGTAAAATTTTCCAGTCGGGTTCTCAATCATTGAACCCCCTTAGACAATGAAAAAGTAGAGAAAGTGAGAGATGGGAAAGGCCACTCTTCTTTTTTTTGTCTATCCAGAGTTTTTGATGCTCCTCTGCTTTCTGGCTTCTGTTTGCGAGGATCAGAACTTTGGTGGTTGGCCACTTTTCTTTGGTCGAAATCCTAGAGCGAGAAAGCGAGATTAAGAATGAGAGTAAGGGTGGAGGGCCACCATTATTGGGTAGTTTCGGTAGTTAATTGTTTGCATATTTTCTTGATTTTTCACATCTGCGTATCCTTGTCGTAACATGCAATCGAAGCTTCGTGCTTAGAATAGGAACGAGGTAGGCTTTTCTTGGGAGGCCCTCCGGTATTCGGCCTTAGCTTTAGACTTGGTTCAACCTCGTCCTAACTCAGATGAGGGTTTTGATATGTGGCACACCTCGTGACGACGCCCGAGTGGGGAGAAAAGCTAGAAAGAAGTTGCTGATCTATGAAGAAAGTTACAGGAAAATCAGCAGCGACACGCCTTGCTCAAGTGGCCAAATCACGACGCTCACGTGTCGGATTGACGTGAGAGCAGTTCCATCGTGTGCGTAAGGTCTAGGGTTATCTCTGGTCCGAACCTCGTACATAATGAATGGTCGACTCTGCTGGAGATTTTTATGAGCATCCACAAATTTGAGGAGAGTCCTTTTATGGAGGCTTTGAATCTTCATGGTATTAATCTTGGAGTAGAACAGAACCTGTTTCTCAACCAGGAGCTGTCGCTTGAGTCTAAGGATTGGCTTGCTTCTAAAGAGCAGAGGAGTTGTGATGACCAAATGACCCCACCCCAATGAGAGGTTGAGAATTAAGGAATTAGACCTCAGTGAGAGGATGAGAATTAAGGAATTAGAAACTCACAGAGGGAGAGGGAAAAAAAAGGAAAGTGAGAGAGAAAGAAGGCCTGTGCCATTTTGAAATTTGTTTGGGACAGAAATGTGGAATAAAATGTGGTTCAATAACTCTAGGGGGTTAGTAGAAAGAGTTTTAAGAAAATTGATGCCGCAAGATACAATCTTCATGTATGGGTATACTAGGAAATTAGGTTCTATGAAGATATTTTCCCTTACTTTTATCCTTCAGTCACCTTATGCCATGGTTTTTGGACTTTAAGATGTGACTTTCTAACAAATCAAATTGCCCACTGTACAACCAGTATACTCATCTTCGTGGAAAAACTCCAGCCTTGGGGCACCAAGAATGTCATTGGCTAAATAAGTACCCCTCGAACTATGGCATCACCCATTCAAAGCCAAAATGTTCTCAAGACAAATCCCCAAATTTTGTGGTAGTTTTACCATTAATGATTAGATTGTTGACGTTCCCTTTACCTTTCTTACAAATGATACACCAGTTGGACAGTGGTATTCCTCTATTTTCCAAATAATCCACTGTTAGCACCTTATTGATGCTGGCCAACCACCCAAGAACTTGAATTTTTTGAGTTACTGGATTTGTCCAAACCCCCAAAAAAGTTGTACGTCCCATATAGGTGGCTGTTGAAAATTCTGTGAAAGAACTACAGAGGCGGTTCCTTTACTCTCAGGGATCCAAATTATCTTGTTCTCCTCTCTTGGAATGTAGAAGTTTTCGAGCTCCTCCATCAGTCTATAGAAGGCTGTGTTCTCTTCAACTTTATGGCTTCTTCTTACCTTTTGGTCACAAACCATCACTTGCCCCTGCTCTTTGTGCCATTTCATCCGCCAAAGCATTTGGTTTTGTGCTAGTGCAGATGATGCAAGGAATAACTGCTATTAGAGCTTGAGTGGCCAGCCATGTCCTTCCAAAACCTGGTCCTCTTTGCATTTCCCACCATTAATCTTATGAGCCCTGAAACGGCAACTCACCTTATCGATTCTTTTCCATGCTCCAAATAGCCTATGGAACTTCCTTCCTAGCTTCAGAATCCAACCATTTATCTCCACCATACTTGTGACTTATAACCTTCTACCGTAGAGGCTGATGGTATAACCTTCTTCTGTAGATGTTTTGATGGTTTGGAGAACCTCCACACCATTTTCCAATGAGGGTGGTTGGCCTCTTTTATCTTTTGTTGCTTAGGCCTCCGGCTTGTTTGGGTTTGCACCATAGTTATCTAAATCTATCCACCGATCTCGCACTTCTGGTTTCGAAACCCGATTCTGCATTTTTGTTAAGGAATCTCCACGAAACTGTTTTACGGAACCAAGGAAACTCGATTCTTTAATTTCGGAATCTCGATATAACACATCTTTAGAAACCGTTTTTCGGAACTAAAGAAACTCGATTCAACACATCTTTAGAAACCATTTTTCGGAACCAAGGAAACTCGATTCCTTAATTTCAGAATCTCGATCCAACACATCTTTAGAAACTTGAACCCATTAATTGTGGGTAGACGTTCCCAAATATATCGAATCTGGATTCTAGCGAGGATTAAGTCTTTGATTCCACGTCAATTGATACACCAATTTAAAGTACATAATGTCCAATGTCTATGACGGTTGTGCACTTCCTAAAGGAAATTGGAGTAGAAATCTTCCTTCGAATGCTTCTAGTCAGTGGTTTAAAAAACGGATCGGTGCGCCAGATTGGGCACTCCAAAAACCCATCCGGATCTGTGAATCGGTGATCCGGATCGAGAATCGGCCGAATCGGTCGGATTAAGCTTTAAAAAACTCCAAAAAAATTATTTAATTTCATTTTTTTTAGGAATCCAGTAAAAAATGGGGGTACTACATTATTAACTTTCATTTTTTTCATCAATTTGCGAATATTAAGATGTTATTTCACTATATGAACTTATGTTAACCATTAAATTTATACCATACAAAAGAAAAATCATACAATTATCATTAAAAAGGTATATAATAATACATGGATTAAAATAAATAGTGAATTAAATCGATGAAAAAATGGCCACTAAAATCTCGAATTGGCATAAAACTCTAATCTGCCAAAAAAACCCCAAATTATTACAACCAAATTAACTATAATATTATATATTGAAATTGAAATTGTTGGTTTATATTTTATAATTATTTTATTGTACAAATAATAACAAATCCAAAAAAATAAAAATATGTTATGCTACATTTTTTATTTTATTTTTTGACAAGATTATATTACCTTTTAATTCTTGTTGTATTGCATTTTGTTTTTTTGACAAAAAAAATTAAAAATAAAATTGTATTACATTTTTTTTTAAAAACCTTTTATTTTTTATTTTTTATTTTTTCGTTTTATTTTATTTTCTTTTTTTATACATTTTTATTTTTGAAAAACCTTTTATTTTTTATTTTTTCCTTTTACTTTATTTTGTTTCTTGTTGAGGACAAAAAAGGGGATTTGTTTTTTAAAACCTTTTATTTTTTATTTTTTTCCTTTTACTTTATTTTATTTTACTTTATTTTGTTTCTAAAGAACAAAGTTTTTTTTTCAAAAAAGAAGTTTATTTTCTTTTACTTTATTTTATTGTACTTTATTTTATTTTTTATTATTTTTTTTCTTTAACTTTATTTTGTATCTTTTAGAGGACAAAAAAAGGTGCTTTTTTTTGTTTTGAAAAATTTTTATCTTTTTTTTTTTTTCTTTTAGTTTATTTTATTTTACTTTATTTTGTTCTAGAGGACAAAAAAGGATGGCGCCCAAGGGGCTCGAGCCCGAGACTTCGAAGGAGATGTTGAGAGTCATAACCAACTGCACTAAGTAATAGTAGTGTGCATTTAATGACCGTATAAAGCTTATAACCATTTTTCGTGCATGTGGGAATTATCCCACATCGAAGATTTAACTTGTGTTTGTATCATATAAATCGTTCTGGCGGTGCAATACCATGTGCTTTGGTTGCGTAGCTGGTTGCTCAGCAGGGCAGTGACCCGTGTGCGCCTGACCCGTGGCATCAAGTATGCGCTTAAATTTTTTAAAAATTTCAAACTTGCCCCTAACAGTTGAAATTGCCGAGTCACTGTAGCAATTCGGCGAGTTATCGCTACGAACCGCTTGGTTCTCTCTAGACACGGGCGGTTCTTCAAGTTTTGCTGGTACCGACATGGGGTTGCCGATTCTTGTGTCGAATCGAGCGAGTCCAGTTCGACTTGACGACTTTTCAAGCACTGCTTCTAGTAGTTGCAGGGTTTCATTATTTTACTTATGCGACCTTGGACAACCTTTACTTTAAATTTAAAATATAACTGGTAAATACAATGCATACAATTAAAAGAAAAACCATGGTGTAGACATAATCCTATTTTGTCTTTATAATAATGAAGTCAAAATCACAATTTAGAAATACTTGTCTTTTGTATATAGTGACTGTGAGTTCAATAGTCAACACAATCACTTTAAAATTTGGGAAACCTTCTAATAAAAGACATCCAATATATGTTCTAAAGTTGATAAGGCTCAAGATGTGCTTGTGGCTTCCTTCTCCATAAAAATGAAATGTCGATTCCTGGTAGCGTTTGTCAAACGCATTCCATAGTCCCTATTATTGTAAATCTCGATCTCAAACTGGCATGGATCTTTGATCCATATACTTTAGAAACTTGATTCCAAATATGTTAGAATCATGATTCGAAACAACAACATATCTTTGTCCCGCATATGTCAGAAACTTGATTCCATAGATGTCAAAAACTTGGATCTATTCCAATTCCCAATTCGGGTTCTTAGGTGTTTCTAACAACTATCGTTTGCACACTCTTTCCCATTTGGCCGAGTGAGCCCTTTGCTTTTGATGACCTATTCTACAACAACTTCCTCATCAATCTTGTTGGTGACTGTAAATTGGAAGGTTAGATAGTATTGATTATATTTGAGTGATTCTTCCTCCAAGAGGTAGGAACCTCCTCTTTCATGAGTTGAGTTTTTTACATATTCTCTGTAGCATATCATCCCACAATGACTTTGGTGGCTTACATTGCACAAAAGGAAAGCCCCAGGTATTTGTTTGGAAGTGCTTCAATGCCGTACCTCGCCCTTTTTGCCAACTTCACCAGTTCATCCTGCAGGACCAGAATTCCCAGAAGTTTCAAATTTGGGAAACTTTTTCAGGCTGGATAACACTTCAAATCGCCTCATGAACAACCATTTCTGATACCTCAGCATACACAGAATAAGTGTATGCTCTGCATGTTGCAGATGAGACATCATGGAACCTCGAGGAGCAGAGTCCGGCCTCATGGACTCCCTTGGGGATGCAACTAAGTTTTTGCAACAATAGTAAGGACCAAGGTTGAGAGGGCCCCCTTTTCTTGGCCCCCTAAATGAAGAGCTTGAACCCTTTGGTGATCTGTTTATCAATATTGAGTATCAATGTACCCCATGTCCAACTTCGCCATTTCTCTTCAATGCCCATGTGCTCATGTGCTTCATATTGTCTTTCAAGAACCCCAAGCTACATGGTTGCATGCTTTTGTGATGGTAGTGAATATTAAGTGCGACAATCCTGAAGTGATTTCAAAAGGATTCCACCTTCTCTATATAAATCCAGTTTTTGTAGTGCAAGAGCTCGACCCCATGCAGTTTGATGACGGCAAAGCTCAATATCTTTCCTAGCTATCAAATGGGAACATTTAGGATAGGTTCGTACTTTATTCTGCTATGTTTTTAGATAAGAAAATTTGGCGCATGTTGCAACTGCTAAGAGGGGAATGGGTCGGGAGTCCATCTTTATAGGGTTATTCCTCTGAATTGATGCCTTGCCATCTCTCATGATATATTTAAAATATCTTATGACTATTTTTAAATTTGTGTTTAATGCTAATTGTCGAGGGTATTGTTAACTTCATAAAAGAAATGCTAATTGTCAAGGGTGATTGCCTCAATGTCATTAGAAGGCCACACATAGAATAGCCACCCCCTTGGCATGTAGCCATGATATTTGAGGAGAGTTTTGGCATTTGTACTTCTAGATGTGTCATTTTTTTAGCATGTGCATTTTGAGGCCAATTCAGATGCTGATGCATTAACTAATGTGGTGTACACCATCATGATATCCTTGCAATAAGAGTTATGCCCTCAGCATGATACCATCTTGGCATCCCTCAATGGATGCTGTTTTCTCAATGGACAATGTGCAGATAAATTCTCATAGATGTTGAGCCATATACTCCCTCTCTTTAATCATGTCTGTTTTCTATCCACATCTAGGAGCCATAGGTGGTTGTGTAAGTTAAGGTTGGGCTGAGCAGGTAAGAATACCTGATGGACAATGCCTTGGGTCAGTAGGTTGGGTGAGTGCGTGTAGGTTTTTAATGTGGTGGCAGCTCTTAATGGGTTTCTCTTTAAAAGTATAGCTCTATTTGAATCCTTGTTTTTTTTTTTGTTTTTTGTTTATTCTATATATTAGTAGTGTTTTGCAGACAAGGCTACAATTATGGATAGTCTTCATTTGTAGGTAATTTCATCTACCATTTTGAAGTGTGAGAAGTTCAAAGCAGCTCAGTTCAAAGATAATGAACCATATTTTGGGCCAAATGCATTGGGCACCAATTTACTTTTGGAAGCTTGGAGACCTTTTTCGATGGGATATAAGAGAAGGTGATTGCATCTTTCTGAAAGCCTCTATCTTGTATAGTATTTTATGAAAACTTATAATTTTACACTACTAGATCTATAAATGGGAAACTTTGCGTAGGTACATACAATTAAATGATTTGATTGTTAAAAATCAATTTTCCTTCTTGTATATGTTATGCCATGCCATTCATAAGTTTGATTGTTCTTTTGCATCCAGGCTTCATGAAGATGACTTTATTTTGCATCAAAATTCTTTTAAGAAGATTTCTCCTTCTTGGGGCTTGAATTCCCTTTAAGATGCTAAGTAGCATCTTCATGTTCATTATCTAAATGGTTCTTTTGGAATATTGTTTCATCATCCCAGAATTAGCACCCCGTATTTAGAATCATTTCTTGAAGTTTTTTTGTTGCTTAATTGGTCTAACTGATTCCAAATATTGGTTATGCATTCGAGGTTTCTTTCTTACCTTCCCAGCTTCAGTCCCCCTGTATTCCATGCATCTGGAACTAGTTTCATCATCTTTCGTAGATACACAACTTACAAGCTTGAGGCCTAGCTTCTTCTAAAACTCTAACCCAATTTTTTCTTTGGAAAAAAGAGAAAAAAAAAAAAAATTTGTATGATTTCTCTCCTTCTTCCTTCAATGTGACTTCCTCATCTGCAATTTTTTCTTTAACTCCAGATGAGCTCCCATAAATGGTCTCGAATCCTACAATTGGATTCTACCGACTACATAATGTGGAAGAGTCAAAGTTTTCCTATCTCACATGGTTTAAGACTGAATGATATATCTTGATGGAACCTTATCTTCCCCTCCAAGACTCATTGAGAAAGAGATTGTCCTTTTAGAAGGCATAAAGGAGTTGCATAGGAGAACTGGGTTGCTGCGGATGTGTCATTAATAAGCTGGGTAGATTCCACTATTTCACATGACATTCAATCTCAAGTGATTGGTCTTCGTTCGACCACATAATTGTGGGATCTCCTTCATGAACTTTACTATCAATCATTTGAGGCAAGCTTGAAGCATATTCATTGTAAACTCTAGCAGTTTTCATTGTGAACTCTAGCAGTGTAAGCGAGAGATCTTCCACTAGTGTGCACTTTCACAAAGTGAAAGTACCTCGTGATCAACTAGGCGATTGGTTATGAGATCAGTGATATGCTAAATTACTCTATTTGCTTATGGAATTAGGTGAAGAATATAAGATTTTCATCACATCGGTCATGTCTAGACCACCTGCACCAGGTTCTAATAAATTTCAGCCCCTCCTATTACAACATCAAGCTTTGTTCAAGAAAAATCCTTGGAAACTGAAAGATTTTCATGACTCTTAAATGTCAACTCTTACAGGTTCATCATGGTTACTAGAGGCCATGGAGGAAGATAAAAAAAAAAACCTTGGTCATGTGCTCAAACAATTCATCCAACTGGTATTTTAGAAATTAAGGGTATGCTGGTTATAACAATCAACAATAAGGACATAATGCCCAGGGAATTCTAACAATACCTCCTTAGCCAGCCAGTGCCAACTAGCCATCACATGTAAACTTTGTGGAAAAGGAATTATACTACCTCAATGTTTCCAAACATCATCATCATCAGAGCCTTTTTCCAACTGATTGGGGTCCACTACACTAATCTTGGTCTGCTATTCTACTCTATTATGGGCCATATCCTCAGTGAGGTTATAAGTCCCCATATCTTTTGTCACTACTTTCGACCTTGTCCTTTTGAGCCTACTCCTTGCCCAATATTTCCAAAGATATGATCCATAATAATGCTGCTGCCCTAATACACTCAATTGCAAATCTAAATATATAGCGGTCTCGAACACCCTCTCCACTATCACCTTCAAATGCTTTTTGGATTATGGATACAAGGCTGCCAATCATGTGACATCTCATGTAGGTAAGTTTTCATCCTTAGTACAATATCTTGGTAAAGGGAAATTCACTAAGGGGATGGCACTCAACTCCCAATCACTAGCATTGGAAATATAATTGTCTCCTCTTTGGGTTCCTTTTTTTTCCTAATCATTTTTTGGTTCCAAAACTAAAATGCAATCGTTTAGTACCACAATTATCTAATGATCTATAGTGTTTCTCGAGATTTACTCTTGACCCAATGGATCTTCACTAAGGGGCCGTTTGGGTATTCGACAATCCATTACAAGGAAATGGATTTACGTGAAATCCCTCATTTTCGTTGTTTGGGTACACAACAACACTAGTGTGAAATGGTAATAGGTTACTGTATAGGGCCCAAAATCGTGTAATGGATTTTCCACCAAAATAGCTGCGAAATGGATTACGAGGATGACGGGTAATCTATTCCCCTCGGATGCTATAAAGCTAAAGGGCACTCCCTTTCTACCGTGGACAATTATGGCATGAGGTGGCTAATTTCAAGTCAAAACTCACCTATCTTCCATAAAAATAAAGTAGCCACTTGTAACTGAACCCTTTAAGTAACTAATTTATTTGTTCTGTCTCTTAAAAGTTGTCTGGTTTGAATATATAAGTAGTAATTAATTTATTTATTATTAAATTTCTAATTTTTATTTTAAATTATTTTAAAAAAATTATAAAAAAAGTTATTTTAAAATTAAAAAAAACAAAAAACTCAAAGTCTTCTCCTGAATCAGCCGAACTACCGAATTGCTTTTTCAGACCAAACTGAAGCAGGCTTCGAATTGAATCTGACAATATTGGATTAAACAGAGACAATCTGTTGGATATACTCATCCATTGTGTGATTCATGCGTGAATTTTGTGATCGCGTCAGGATTAAGAGTGTTATTGCAAAACCTTGTTATTTATTATGCAGGTCAATGTCAATTGTATTCCCCATGGCCTCACATTAGTATAATAATGGCGTCATTGCTTTTCACATATTAGTAAGTAGTGATGAGGACAATATTCTCTCTTTGAAAAATGGTCTATTCACTTATTAATGAAATAATTAGAGGGAGAAGGGATAAAATTAATCGTTGGTTCATTCACATATTAAAAAATAAAGTAGTTTAATGGATATTTTATCTTAAAAAAGGAAAAACAAAAAAACTTGTACAACAAAAAACGCTTTACTATAGATAAAAGTAATGCAGTATTTCCCATATTTCTTCTGGACATAGCCAAACAATAGCAATGTATTACCCTTCATCCAAATGCTACCCAAACAGTAACAATCAATTTTCATGAAATATATTATGTTAGTAGTGAATTACGCCAATAATATACTTCTGAGACAATACATTTCCACGTACCCAAACGCATAAGGGAATAGAGAATGGGAATCCTACTTTATTGAGGAACCTTCATCATCGATAAACAACATCAATGATGCTCGTAGTCAAGACATGGGGTTGTGTTCTCTCCTTCCACTATGTCTTCAGATTTCTTTCTAAATAAAGCCCACAAGTCCATATGACACCGTTGACTTGCCCATTGTGGCGAGAGGAATGATTCCTTGTGATTCAAATAATAAAAGGAATCACATTTTATGTTCAAGCTGTCAGCTTGGCAAACATTGTAAGCCTCCCTTGAATACAAAATAATATAATAACCGCTTGTTCTTTAAGAGTTAATACATTATGATATTCGTGGCCCTTCTTCCCATGGAATATAAATCTTATTTTGAGTACCATATTTTATCTATTGATCATTATTGGAAATTCACCTAGATCAATTCAATGTTTTCAATGTCTTTGTTAGTTGATCCTTTGTGAAATCACATTCCAATGCCAAATTACTGGATTTTGAAGTGAAGGAGTATATATCTGATATTTGAGAGTTCCTTTTAAACAACAGAATCAAGCGAGAACTTTCCTATCCTCATACACCACAACAGAATGACGCAGGGAAAGGAAAGCATTGACATATAAGAGAGGCAACTTTATTTGTGATGCTTGCTAGTGGATTTCCCAATTCTATGTGGAGTGAAGCCTTTTGCACTGTGATGCATCTTATTAATTGGTCGCCTTTCATGAATACTAGTGGATAGTTGCTATACTTTATCCTTCATGCCAGACACCCAAATTGTAGCATGCTACGAGTTTTTGGATGCCATTGTTATGCTCATATGGATGGAAGTCAAAGGGAAAAGCTGATGCGAAAGCTGAAATGTGTGTTTTCATGGGGATATAGCATTATGCACTAAGGGTATTGTTGTTATTACCTCAGAACGAAAAAATATTTTGATTTCATGACATGTACCTTTGATGAAAACTAAATGCATTTTCCTTCAAAAGTTCAAAAAATTGAAGGAAAAGACACGCAGATTACCGTGAAACTAAAATTGATTCTTTTCAGGTGATTTAAGCTTGTTACATGGCAAACCAGCAACTAGTAGAAGTTGTTCATCTAAGGAATTTAAGTAGAACACATGAAAAGCATGATAAAGAGTTGATAGTCTGTCAAAAAAGAAAGATAAGTAGTGGCCCTTGAAAACATTCGAAGTATGGAAATTGTGCATAAAAAAGCAGTGGCCAATGAGAAAGAGCCAAACATATATATTAGCACTCAAGAACGATCAAATCAGGAATATAGTACCTCACAGTTCGTGGTTGTTGGAGAGCAAAATCAACTGACGAGATCAGCGTGCCTCGACATTGATGCAAGGAAATTTGAGGGAAACAATAAAATTAGCAAGAACAAGCCAAACACAAGAACAATTTGAAGAAACCTAGGGTTTCTTCTCCATACCCCAAGCTAGGGTTCCAAAAGCCTAAGCTTTTCTCTCTTTCAATTTCTAAATATAACGTATAATTGATCCTCTCAAGGCCCGACACACCTTATATATTATAATTCCATATTCAAGGACATTACATGTCCATACAATGATTAAAATGACCTATATATTCTAACTTAAACTTAAATTTTGTAATGACAAATTTACCTCTGTGAATAGTACCCATGAATAATACTCATGAATAGTACTTGTGAATAGTTCTTATGAATTAAACAAAAATTATAGAAACCCTAGAATCCATAGAAAACTAAAAAGCCCGAGATTTAAGCCCTAAAAGCAAACTGTAATATACATCCTTAAAGTTGAATAAAATTAAAGAATAAGAATGATATTTCCCTCCATCATTCTCCCCTGGTTGGAGAAAACACGTCCTCGAGTTTTGAAGTGTGTTAAGATAAAATTGGCATTAATCTGACAACATTCTTCAACTCGAATATTGCTAACATGATCCTGCGACTTGTGTGTTATTACACTGATCAAAATACAATGATTATGCATTGGAACTGAGAAACCCTAGAAGAAAGGGTCACTATATGTCGATAGAATATTTTTAATCACATAAACTTGTTGAATTTGCATCATTTCAGCCGTGTAACCCTGCTGAATTTGCCTTGCCCAACTCATCTCTAGACTATACCCCGGGTGCATCTTTGAGATCAGTGACTAAACCAACAACTTCACTCTCTTCCAACATATCTTTACCATCATCTTGATTCTTATCATAGATCAGATCTCTTAAGAAATCTTGTTGTTCATTTGAGTATATCTCGAAGATTGGTGGTGAATCCCAATCTACAATTTGCTGACTTTCCATGCAATCTGTGTCAAAACAAGAAATCTCGTCCTTCAAATAAAAACCGTAGAGTGATATTCCCCACATCTAGGTCTTCTATCCCTATCCTCATCACCCAACTCCACGCACAAAGCGCGAAAGTGAAAAAGCTTGCACTCGAGATCTTCTTGGGCTAAAAGATCACTGTCTTGCCCATTATTGAGGTTCGTGAACTGCTATGCCAGTTGCTGTATATTCCTTTCAAGTTCCTCAATTTTGTTATCTATGGGCCCGTTTGGGTACTTGGAGAAGCGTGTCCTGGGAATAGGCTTCTCCTAGAATTGGGTTATCTTGGAATTGGTCTGTCTCTATGATAGGGGTGTCTGCTGTTTGTATAGCACCTGATAAGAAACATGGAATATGCATGTCCACTGTTTGGATTGCTTGGAAGATGTGAATCCATGGATATTCAGTTGTCGTTTTTATATTATTACCCTACATTTAATTTATACTAATTAACTTTTCTCACTAATTCTAAACTACAATATTATTTCTTTACTAAGATGAAATTGTTATTTTTTTCTTATTCCTTTCCATTGTATCCTTATGTATAGATATCCTACCTTCCAAAGATTCTATTCGGGTACTTTGGTTCGTGCGTAAAATATTCCCTGGAAATATTTACATATGTAAATCGCATTTCATATGTTTGGTTCGTGCAAATGCATATGCAAATAAAATACTATGGTAAAAGCTTTTACCGTGAGGTGGGGAAACATTCCCCGTGCATTTGTTTTCCCATGCGGACCCACTATTCACTATTTACATTATAATATATTATG